AAAAGAAAGAATAAAAAATTTAAGAGCCTCTTTCAGGGTATATCTCTGCTGTCACATTAGATAATGTGGGTGGTGATGTTCAGAACTAAGGCAGTTAGTCTTAGCAAGCCAATGGCAGACCCCTAGTTCAGGCTGAATTCTGGTTGCAAGGCCCAAATAGGGCTTCCTGACCTCCTGCAGAGTTGAATTCTGCAAGGTTCTACTGAAGGTTCCCACTGCCCTTCCCCTGAAGATAATCCAAGTTCTGCTGGAAGGTGGTGATCCCCCCAGCTTACCAACTACAGAGGTCTGATGTGCCTTTACTGCTTTTGTTCACTTCTGTTGTATCTTCTGGAGCTGAGTAATATATATGGCCTTTATGACCACCTGTGTCTCTGCAGTGTGAATCCAGGTACTCGCACAGCCAGGAGACCTGAGAACAGAATGAGTGCAGGGGATGATAGATGTTGCAGTGTCACCCATGCTGCTGAGCATTGGGCGTTTCTCACTGGTGTGCTGGGATGGAGGCCTGGGGTGCTGGAGGTGGAGGAGTAGGGGCTGCGAGGTCCCTGCCTGGCCGAGTGGTGGGCGTTTCTTGCTGGTCTTAACAATTGTTTATTTTTAAAAAAACAACTGTTTCTTACTGATCATGATGACCAGCATATACATGATAATGGCTTTCTTTTGGATATTGACATTGCTGTATTTTGTATGTACCGAGAATGTTAGAGAATAAATATCTTAGATGAAAATTAACATGAGTATTTCTGGTGTTCTGACCCACAGGATTAATTTAAATCCCCGAATCATTGGCATAGTGTTAATCAGTTATGAAGATTGTATGTTCTCTTTGAAGTAGGCAGCATGAACTTATACTTCTTTGTACTTTAATATGTGCCTTTTATAATTTAAAATATATCTGTTCAGGCTAAAGCACAATCATACAATACACCTCACATAAATTTCCTGCTACCATTGCACAAGGTTAGTGATTTTACTTTAGAAAATAAGTCAAGCCATCATCAAAATAAAGAGGCAAATAAATGTGACTTTAAAATCATTTGAAAAGCTTAGTGCTTAATTATCCAATACAGACTCCAGCTTAAATGCTATAATTATAATCTCCAAACTTCTTTAATAAAATTAATATTTCATATATATGTTTTGTTTATAAACAGTACTTTGCAATCAATAAGACAAAGTTATGTTTTAGAGAATGATGTATTTGGAGATATTCTATATATCTGTGGTAGAGGCAAAGCCACATGGTGCTAAATCTGGCTCTATGTCCTCTAAGGTACCAATTTCTCCATCAATTTTGGAAGATAGTTTTGTGGGGTACATCACTTTGGGTTGGAGGTTGCTTTTTATTAGGGCTTGAAATAGTTCACTGAAAGTTCTCCTTGACTTAAAAGTTTGTGAAGTTGACTTAAAAGTTTAAAGAAATCTGCTGCAACTGTGATGGGCTTTCCTTTATAAGGGATTTGCTTTTTTGTAACTGCTTTTAATATTCTGTTCTTGTGTTGAACTTCTGGAATCCTGACTATTATATACCTTGGTGTAGATTTTTTTTTTCAGTCATGGCTAATTGGTATTGTGTATACCTCACTTTATCTGTATGTCAAACTCTTTTTCCATGCTTGGGAAGTTTTCTGCCATTACTTCTATGGACAGGTTTTTTAAAAATGTCATTTTCTCTATCTCCTGCTTTTTCATTGACTCTGATCAATCATCTTTTTCTTCTTTGAATCATCTAGCAGGTGTTGGTCATCATCTTCTGAAGATATTTGAGAAATTATTGCTGATTTGATTTTTTTTCTAGAACCTTATTTATTTGCTTTGTATTCTGCTGTTACCACTTCAGAGAGTCCAGATGGGTGGCTTTCAAATTGTTCCCCTTCATTGCCCCTTGGGTTGACCTGGAAATCTCAGGTTGCATCTTGCTTTTATGACTTCTCATTTTCTATTTTTTTCGAGTTTAATTCCTGTATTGATGGTTGTATATTGTTTATGATGGGTATCTTTATTGCTAGTATTGAGAAACCCTAGGAAATGACTACTTAGAAATGACTTCTAGGTATAGCCATCTTTTGAATGTTGAGTCTTTTGCAAGATCCTTCTTTTTCAATTTATTGGGGATGAGAAATTGCTGCATATTTGGCCTACCTCCTGGTTCTTTGGCAGTAGTGTGTGGTATTGTTTATGATCCTAAGGCAATCTCAGTCTTGGCATACAAGGAAGAACAACTAGTTAGCACAAAAAATTGTGTCACCTTGGTTAAGTAGTATAATCAGTAATAACAATAGCATTAAACACCCCTAGAAAATTACAAACTGGTAACTTAATTTGGCACCTTTAAGCATTTGAACAGGATTTGTAAGTATATAACCAAATCTAAAAATAAACCAGAAAATTGTGTCCCTTCAATATGGTGATTTTACCTGTATGGGAGAAAATTTTAAAAAGGCTTAAGGGAAAAAATAGTAAAACAAAAGAAGAGAAAGAGTTTAGAAGCAAGGCTAGAGGACAAAGGAAGATTATGCAAGCTTTGAGAAGTGGTGAAGACAGGTGAAAGAAGGAAGAAATAGAAGAAAAAAGTAGAAAGAATGTTTTCACTCATAAAAACAAGAGCAATCAACAGCAAGAGAAAAATAGAAAAAAAAAAAAAAAGCAATTAAAGCCAAAAAATAAATGTCCACCCCAGGGAATGTCTCTCCTGTCACTGGTTGACAGAGGGGGCAGACAGAGCCCAAATTCATATTGATTGATCCCAGTATGCCAGCAGTAGAATTATGACAGTGGTGGATAATCTCAGCAAATCTGAGCCTTTATTTCCGTGAAGTTCAGGCTGCTTCTGGTTTCTGTCTGTGAGGCTGGGACCAGAGTTTTTCAGCCTAAAGCACTCTGAGTGACTCCTGCCAGTTTAAACTCTGTTCTCTGACCTCCTGCTGGGTTGAACTTTGTTGCACCTCTCCCAGACACTTGGAGCTGCTAGATGGAGACAATCTGTAGCTTTTCAGAGTTCTGAGTTCAGTTGGTCCTTTTCTAAAATGGCTTCCAGCCAGTTCCCCTCTCTTGGGATGTATCCTAACCCAAATTACTTACCAGCTGCTGCAGTCTACAATGTACACTGCTCTATTCCACTGGTGCATTTCTTCCTGGAGGCCTCTGGAGTTGCCAGTAGTCACTGTACCTGTGCAGGTTTGAGCTCCCCCCACCCTCCAGCCAAGGCTCAGTGAGAGAATACCACTAGCCACCTCTCTTTTCTGCATTGTGGTCCCTCTCTTTACTCTCCTGTGGGTTCTAATTCTTGCTTAACATCTTTGCTGGGTCTTGGGGACCCACTGCCCTCTTTTCTTCCCCAGGTTGGTATATTCCAGTGTCTGGATTCCAAGTATTGGAGAGGCTGTTTCTGTGCTGCTTTCCATTGTGTCATCTTACCGGAAGTCACTGAAATTTGAAAAATGATTCTTTAATTAAAATATTAAAATGTGATTTTTCTGATATCTATGAAAGTGAATATTTCTATTTCTTTAGAAAGTTTTAGTAAGAACATTTTTTTAAAATCACCAACAGGGCCAGAGATTTATTTATTTATTTTTTCTCATTGAGTTTATTGGTACATTTTAGGTATACAGTACAGTTACATTCATCACTGGGGTCTTGTACCTTTACATGACAGGTCTTGGTTTACAAGATTTTTTTTTATCAGAGTTTTAAGTGTGCTATATAGTATTGTTATCTGTAGGCACATTATTGTACAGTTGCTCTCTAGAACTTAATTGTGCTGACTGAAATTTTAACTCATTGATTAGCATCTTGCCTGTTTTTCTTCTCCTCAGCCCCTAGTAACCACAATTCTATTTTTTTCTTCATTAGTTTTACTTTTATATATCTTATACAAGGGTAAGTATACAGTATTTGTCCTTCTGTAATTGGAATATTTCATATTATAATATCCTCCAGACTCATCCATGTTATTGAGTAATACAGAATTTCCTTCTTTTTAATAGACCAATTAATAGTCTATTATATATGCCCACACTTTTTATCCATTATCTTTTGATAAACATTCAGGTTGTTTTCATATATTGTCTATTTGTGTAGTGCTTCCACTAACATAAAAATGGTAATATCTCTTTGAAATCCTGATTTCAAGAAGTGGGATTGCTGAATCATGTGGCTTTGCTCTTTCATAGCATGTTAATAAAGACTGTTGGGAAAAATCTTCCTACATCATTGCTGTTCCTTCCTGTAAACTTACCTTTAACACTATCCATATCCTTACCTTTCATCTCTTTGGGAAAGGTTACCTTTCACTAAACTAATGCTTTCACTTCTGATTTGCATTCTATTTTCTCCTGCTTCCACAGGACCTGTATTTTGTAAATTTTATTCTCAACATTTTTCAGAGAAGCTTCTTGAGTAGTTTTTATTAATTACCTCTTATTCTTTCTTTTTTTTGATTTCCAGATTCTATCACCATCACTGCAATAAATCTATTGTTAAAGTCACTATGCTCAGTTTTTATTTTGCATTTAAGGTTGTTATCTATTGCATCTTTTCTGATAACACAATTTACTATTTATTGAACTAACCCAAATTCAGTTCAACAGATTTTTTTTGGAGAACATTCTAAAGTAGCACTAGAAACAGAAGAAAGAAAAATGTTTCTCTCTAGAAACAGACAGTTCAGTGAAGGATATGGACAATGTAAACAGTCACAATACCCAGAGCCTTGGCTGAGATACATACTAAGTTGTATGGGGTAAAGGAGGAATTTAATATTTCTTGGTAAACTTGTGACTGCCTTTTCCCATGTGGTTCTTTTGTGACTTTTTTGACAGTTTTTCACTGGCTCCAAATCTACCTAAATATATAAGGGTTTAAAGTAGGGAGTCTGTAAAACAGAACTTGACTCTTCTTTTTTCTTTTAGTGATACCACTTTTTCTTAAAGATAGGGGAGAATAAGGATAATTATTCATTTGAATTGATTGAATGTTTTGTTACATGTGTGCAGCACTTCATAAAGCCTGTAAAATTTTTAGTAAAATTCGAAGTGGTAAGATTTACGTGAATGATCTGCCAAAGGTCCTTCCTATCTTGAAGATTTTGATAAGTGATTCAGAAATTCTACAGGCACTAAAGATTATTGATATTGATGGTAAGTTTTTTCAATATTAGTTTAAGGGTCCTGCAAACAAACTAATTACAAATGATAGAAAATTTGGGCTTCAAGTGCATTATAAAATATTATATTTTGACATGCATGTTATAAATCATTGTTATATGCTATAAAAACATTTGCAGTAACATTAAAAACTGGTCTTCAGGTACATATAATTGGATTATTAGATTGGATTATGATATATTCCCACTATTGGTTCATGCCTAGCCTACTTTAGTTATGTAATGTTGTTTTAATAACATTAAAAAATTGGACTCAGTTACCTAAAATGAAAACTAAGACTTTGGTCAAGCATGATGGTTCATGCTTGCAGTCCCGACACTTGGTAGGCTGAAGCAGGAGGATTGCCATGAGTTTGAGGCCAGACTGAACTACATAGTGAAACCCTGTCTTAAAAAAAAAAATACAAAATTAAAAACCAAAACAAAAAAAAATTAGGACTTTGAGGTTAACTTGTTTATATCCATGAAGTTCACTGAACAATCAATTTTTCTGGTTCCTCGGCCTGAGGTAAGCCTTCATTTTGTTCTCTGTCTCTGTCTCTGTCTCTGCATATATGTATATTTTTCTCTCTCTCCATTTACATATATATATGTATTTATATATATGTTGTTCATGTACTTTGGAAATGTTGAGTGTCTGTGGCTTAGAGTAAAAGACGGAAAATTGAAGCCAAATTTCTGTAAAATACCTCAATTCATTACAGAAATTTTGATATTTTAAAACACTTTTAAAGGGGAATCTTAGAAAAATTAGTAGCTCTGCTGTGTCCTTAAGCATGTAATTAGACGAAACTATTGATGTCTACTAGTTCATCCTGCATTTTAAACTATTGTGCTGTTATGAATGTAATGATGCTATAAATGAAAATGCTGTTTCATTGTCCTCTCACATCTGATGGAAAAAAAATTTAAGAACAAAGCTTTCATCAGAAAAAAGAATTCTGCTACTTTGGGCATCTGTAACCCACCTGTAATGCTTGGTAAAGCAACTGTGTTTCTCCTTTGATGAGGAAATAACCTTCACATGTCAAACCCATTGCTTCGCACTGATGCTGATTTTTTGAAAAATTCTAAAATAAAATTTTAATTGTTAAAGCTGTCATTTCTGTCTGCATCAGAATGTTGAGTGATCGCTTCTCCAGTTTTTTTCAAGAAAATGAAATCAAATTGTCTGATGTGCTGTATTTTAAGTAGTTTGCATATAGATTTACCAAGATATAATTGATATACAGTAAGTTGCATATATTTAAAGTGTACAATTTGATAAATTTTGGAGTATGCAATACCTATGAAAAAAGCATTATATTCCATAAAATGAGCATGTCTGTCTTACTCCATTTTTCAGACCTCTATTCAATGCCTATGGCTTACTTACTGTAGTCCACCCCATCCCCAGATAAACACCAGTGCAGTTCTACCACTGTAGTTTGTATTTTCTAGAACTTTATATAAATGAAGCATATAGTGTTTACCTTTTTTGTCTGTTTTTTTCTCTCAACTTATATTGAAAGTGGTCCATGCTTTTACAGTATTGAATACTATTCCATGCATATACAATAATTTATGAATTGATAGACACTTGGTTTGTTTCCAGTTTTGGCTGTTACACATAAGCCTGGTGTAAGCATTCACATGTATGCCTTTGGATGGTCATGTGCTTTCATTTATTTTGAGTACATACCTAGTAGTAGAATGATAGGTATATATTTAAGTTTTTAAGAAATTTCTACATTGTGTTGTAAAGTGGTTAAATAATTTTACTTTGCCATGAACAATATGTAAGTCCAGCTACTCTTCAAACTTACCACCCTTGAATTGGTCAGCCTTTGAAAATTATAGTCATTTTAATAGATATATGATGTTTCATCATTATGGTATTATGGCATTTTAATTTGCATTTCCTAGATAATCAAATGATATTGATTATATTTTGCAACTTTTTAATATATTCTGAATGTAAGTCCTTTGAATATGTGACTAGTAAACATTTCTTCCAGTCTGTGGCTTGTCTTTTCATTCTGTTAAAATGTCTTCCAAAAAGCACTTTTTTTAAAAATTGAGTTTATTGGTACATTTTAGGTACACAGTACAGTTACATTCATTATTGGGATCTTGTACCTTTACATGACAGGTTTCGGTTCTCATTTTTTCCCCATTTCCCTGCCCTCTCTTCACCCCCTCCTCCCCTCCCCGAAGCATAAGTTTTTGCTTTTGATAAAGTCCAACCTACATTCTTTTCTTTTATGAATTGTGCTTTAAATGTCTTATCTAAAAGACATTTGCCTAATCCAAATCACAAAGCAGTTAGAAAAAAGTTAAAGTAGTTGATTAAAACTTGAACAAATTGTTTCACTTTTTTTTTCAGCTTTAATTGAGTTTATTGGTACATTTTAGGGATACAGTACAGTTACATTCATTGTTGGGATCTTGTACCTCTACATGACAAGTCTTGGTTCTCATTTTTTCCCCTTGTCCCTGCCCTCCCTTCACCCCCTCTCCCCCTCCCCATCTACAAACACTTTATTTCCATCTTTTCATTATCTCACATTTTTTTCTTTTCCCTTATTACCCTTCCCCTACCCATCCCACCTTCCCTACACCTTTAGCTCCTTTCTTCCCATTTCTAAATGTCAGTAATCTTATTAGGATCTTATGTATTATTGCAGATTATTCACACCAGAGAAACTATTCGGTATTTACACATGTGCGCCTTATTTATTTCACTTAGGAGTATATCTTCAGTATGTATCCATTTTCCTATGAATGAATCTATTTTCTCATTCTTTATGGCTGAGTAATATTCCATTTTATAGAAAAACCACATCTTTATCCAGTTTCCAACGGATGGGCAAATGGGCTGTTTCCAAGTTTTAGCTATTACAAACTGTGCCGCTATAAACATGGGTGCACATACTTCTCTGTGATATGATTCTTTTAGTTCTTTTGGAAAGAGACCCAGCAGAGGGATGGCTGGGTCAAATGGAACCTCCAGTCCAAGCTCTTTGAGGTATCTCCATATTGATTTCCATAGTGGTTGTACCAGTCTGCACTCCCACCAACAATGGAGAAGGGTTCCTTTCTCCCCACAACCCCGCCAACATTTGTTATTGTGTGATTTCTTGATAGCAGCCATTCTTTGTGGGGTGAGGTGGAATCTCAGTGTTGTTTTCATCTGCATCTCTCGAATGATCAGTGATGTGGAACATTTTTTCATATATTTACTTGCTGCTTTTACTTCTTTGAGAAATGTCTGTTCATTTCGGATGCCTATTTTTGAATCGGGTCTTTATATTGGGGGGGCTGATTGTTTTGAGTTCTTTATATATCCTTGATAATAGTCCTTTGTCTGAGGAACAGCTGGTAAAAATTTTTTCCCACATTGTAGATTGTCTCTTAGTTCTGCTGGTGGTTTCTTTGACAGTACAGAAGCTTTTTAGTAAGATGAGATCCCAGTTGTTGATTCTATCTGCTAGTTCCCGTGCTACTGAGGATTTGTTCATAAAGTCTTTTCCTATACCAATGTCTTCCAGAGTGCTGCCTAACTTACCTTACCTTCCAGCAAGTTTAATGTTTCTGTTTTAATATTTAGATCTTTAATCCATTTGGATTTTAATTTAGTGCATGGCGAAAGATAAGGGTCTAATTTTAATCTGTGGCAGGTTGACATCCAGTTTTTCCAACACTATTTATTAAAGAGGCTATCTTTCCTCCACTGAGGATGGTCAGCTCTTTTATCAAAGATGAGGTAGCTGAGTACATCTGGATTTGTTTTTGTGTCTTCCAGTCCGTTCCACTGATCCTCAGGCCTATTTCTTTGCCAGTACCATGCTGTTTCACTTTTTAATGGAAAGGAGAACCCAATCTTAAATTGTCCTCTGAAGAAAAGGACAAATTATCTGGAGACAGATAATTTGACAGCTTTTCACTATCTGAGAAAGTAAATTTCTCAGAAGCTTTTATAGGTTACTTTTGTTCAGACAACATTAAATTGAAATGTGCATGTATAATAAAATTTTTCCTGACCTAGAGAATGTCTATTGATGTAAGCCCTGTCAAAGTTAGCTTTATCAATGACAGAAGAAAATGAAATCATACTTACTTAACTTAAAGAATCTTGAAAAAATTGAGATCATTTGTTAAGATCTATGTTTATCCAGAAAATGAGATTCTGTACTTTGGCAGACTTTGTGGGTTAGAATTTTCAGTTGTAGCTGCTGTTAGAGGTGACCTGTGCATTATTATGCTGAAAAGCACCCCATAATCCCAACTTCTTCATGTTAAACAACACAACTTTTTCATGAAATTTTCATTTGTATGATTTAGATTTCCTTTTAAGAATTAGCCATTCCTTTTAAATGAAAATTAAGATGCTTTTCCTGCTATCATGTTAATGTTGTTCAGTATTTTCTGCATTTAAGGCAGTGTTCATGAGGGAGGAAGAGAGGGAAGGAAGTGGTGGGGGTGGGAAGAGGAGAGAATTCTTTCATTAGACTCAGTTGGATCCACAACTGCCCCAAAAGGTTTAGAACTCTTGGTAAGGCTTTTCTAAAAGATGGTAAAATCAGCCTGTCTTTCAAAAATTAAACCCAGTATGCTTAAGCACTTTGCAGGTAAAGTTGGTGTGCTTTGTGTAATTTTTAAAACCTAATTAGAAATATAAAGCTTAAGAGCCTTGAGCAAAGAGCACTGCAGTATTTACCATTTTAGTCCATACCATTATTATTACTGGAACACCATTTACTACTTAATTACAATATGTAACTTTTTTCTGGAAAATTTTCTTTTTTTATTCTCCATGCAGTGAATGTTGGTGGTTCTTGTATACAGGCAATGGTATTCTAATGTCAGTTAAATCTGTTTACATTTTTATCTTATGTTCTTAGTGAATTTAATGATACTGTTTGCTGATTGATTGAGTTTTTAATCTTCTGTTTCTGAATCATTTTTCTAGTTAATGAAATGCTGGATTTTTCACATTTCCTTAAGGCTGTGAATGATTGTTCTTATTTGGTCTCCCAGGATCCAGGTAAAAAGAATATTCATCCACAGTATAAAAGAATGATTTTGATAGCAGTTGATTTTAGGGTGGGGTGGATATATTAATTTATCCTTTTTTCAGAATCCCTTCCCCCTTTTAGCCTCAGTAGTTGGGTTAGGAAAATTACTCGAGTTTTTTTTTTTTCTTTCATAAAAAGCATTTAAAAACCTGGACTGTTGTCACAACACATTAGCTTTATATCACCAATCTCCAGTTTTATCTGTGTAAATTTGCTGCACTGATTTAAAACACCATGCCATTTTCTTGCTGAAGAATTTATATAGATGTTTTTCCTATTACCAAGTGAATCTAGTTGAAGCAGTTATGCTAAACTTCCCACCAAATCTTTCCCAGGCAAGAACCTCATACTACAGTTAATCTTAAATCTGTATATGTCAGTCTTATTTCCATACTTTTGTTCTTGTGTGTTTCTGTGTATGTGTTTTCTGTTGAAGTCTTACTTTTCTTTTCTTCTCCACCCTTGATAGTGCTTTCTTCACTATGTCAGGAATCTGCTTGTATTTCTCCCTAAAAAATTTAGATACTTATGGGTCTATTGATCTCTCAATAGCTTAGTTTACATTACAAGTAAGTTACAAATACAGTGACTAGGAATATTCATGTTAATAATAGAAATACTGTACTACTTCCAAAAATTTGAGATCTGTAATGTTCACAACCCAATTTTAGAATTTCTTTTTTTCTTCATTGATAGATCAAGGTCAAGACAAGATCAAGTTCCTTAGAATTGCATATTTTTATGTCAGACTATATTCTTAGAATCAGGAATATGGTCTTATTCCTGGAAAAACATAAAAAAGACAAGAGAACTCTAATGTTTATTCATATATGTAATAAGTGTTATTGAATGACTGGAACAGGCAGCAATGGACAATATAAATATGTATGTTTGACTTGATTTCCCTTCTTAGTTGCTTATTTCCTACATTGGTTATCTTCCATGACATTAGTTTTCTCTTGATTCTGTCTACTTAGCTTTTGATTTACAGTCTGACTATAGATTTATTTGTGTGAACTCCCAGGTGTGATCTACTTATTAAACTAATGCTTAGAATAACTTATTTACTTCCATATATTTCTTGATATTTCAAGTCCTGGTTTCCTGTGTTGACCTTATTTTTTTCTTTTTGCGGTCAAAGTGTTTGGAAATCAATAAAAAAACTCACAAATTTCTTTTTCTTCCTTTTAAAACAACATGCATATGGGGTTAGGAGAATTTCCCTGAGTTTGAGGGCAGCCTGGGCTATATAGAGAGTTCAAGGTCACCCTGCACTACAAAGCAAGACCCTGTCCCAAAAAACAAAACAAAACATGCATAGGGGCTGGGGATTTAGCTCAGCAGTTTGGTGGCCTGCCTCGCAAGTGCAAGGACCTGAGTTCGATCCCCGGTACCAAAAAAAAAAAAAACCAAAAAAACCATGCATAATAACATTATTTTTATAAAATATCCGAGCAATATATGTGTATAAGTATATGAAATTTTAAATTCCAACTAGCTTGTTACAGTTTAATATTGACCTCAGAATCCTTTTCATATGGCATTATGAATATATATATATATATATATATATATATGTGCACACACATGTGAGTTATTATTAGTGGAGGAGAATCAGAGGACCTAGATCTCATAGAAGGTAATAAAAAAAAGCCAAGCATACTGTTGGGAATGACGATATCTCCAGAAAATATAAATATCTTGAAGAGAAAGGGAAGTTTTACTATCTTATTTTGAAATAAATAATATATCTTGTTTATATTTTTTCAATTATGAAATTTGTTAACTTTTAATATAATTATTACTTATTGTGTAGTTTTTTCCTTTTCATGTTTATTGTCCATTTTAAAGACTAGGTCATTCATTTCTTACTGATCTGTAGGAATTTTCATACTCTTGCTATTGTTAGCTTTCTCATTGTTTTTATGGAGGAGAGAAGTTTTAGAATTACTCTCTTCCACTTTTTGCTCATTATAGCTACCAGTTGCGTGAGTGATGCCAGGTGTGCCTCCTTGGTTATGCTAATTTTAGGACTTGTAGGTCATTATGCTTATTATTGTTTTTGTTTGTTTGTTTGTTTGTTTGTTTGTAGCAGGGATTGAACTCGGGCCCTTGTGCTTGCAAGGCAGGCAGTGGAACCACTGAGCCAAGGCCCTGGCCCTTATTATTGTATCTTCAATCTCATGAAAATATAATTGGACTGTAAAGTGCTTTTCTGTCTGGAATTGATTATGGAAATTATATTTTTTTATTAAGGTAAATTAAGAGATGTAGTGGTTAGAGGAGAATTTAAATTTAGCTGTTGGATACAGCTATTATTTATTTATTTATTTGATACCAGGGATCAAACTCAGGACCTTGCACTTTTGATGCAAGCAGGGGCACCAATGAGCTAAATCTCCAGCCCTGGATACAGCTTTTCATTTGTTTAAATTTTAAGAAGGATTTTTTTTGGTGAAAAATTCTCTTAATATAAATATTTTCTTCTAACTATGTTGTTTCCAATTCATTTTTGATGGTACAGAGTATTGGTATAATGATAATAAACTTCTATGGAGAAATAAAAACTTTATAGTAGTGGTTAAGCCACTGCCAGACTCTGAAGTATGATAAAACAACTGAAAAGGAATTTTGTATCTCTATTACTATTTTCTTTTATATTATCTTTCCTAAATTTTATTTTTAAACAATTAAAAATTCTCCTGGATTTTGTATTAATTTGCCTTAGCATTGTGGAGTATACCACTGATAAAAAATTGTCTTAGTTAAATAGCTAAAACTTGGAAACAGCCCATTTGCCTATCAGTTGGAGACTGGATAAAGAAGATGTGGTTTTTCTATAAAATAGAATACTACTCAGCCATAAAGAATGGGAAATTAGTGTCATTCATAGGAAAGTGGATGCATATTGAGGATATACTCTTTTTT